TTTTTTTTTTTTTTGGTACCAGGGATCGAACTCTGGTCCTTGTGTTTGCACAGTAGGTGGCAAAACCACTGAGCTAAATCCCCGGTTCTTTTTTTTTTGGTACCAGGGATTGAACTCGGGACCTTGCGATTGCGAGGCAGGCCCCAGAACCATTGAGCTAAATCCTCGGCCCTAATCCCCGGTTCTTGAGGCGATACTCTTAAGTGAAATAAATAGGACACACATGTGTAAATACAGAATAGTTTCCCTGGTGTGAGAAACTGAAAGTGTAAATAAGGATCAAAATGTATAATTGTTAATGTGAAATAGGAAGGAAAGGTCTAAAGGGGTAGAAGTGAGGGGTAGGGGAAAGGAAAGAAGGGAAAGGAAAATATATGAGAAAAGGGAAAAATGGAAACAAAGTCTTTGTAAATAGGGAGGGGTGGAGAGGTTGAAGGGAGGGCAGGGGAAGGAGGAAAAAATATGAACCAAGATGGATTATGTAAAGATACAAATTCCCAATGATGAATGTAACTATATTGTATACCTAAAATGTACCAATAAACTTAATGAAAAAAAAATATTTAAGTTAGGGCTGAGCATGGTGGAGCACACCTGTAATCAATCCTAGCCCTTAGGAAGCTGAGAGTCAGGGGGATCGCTGAGTTTGAGATCAGTCTCAGCTACGTGATGAGTTCAAGGCCAGCCTGAACTATGTAGTGAGACCCCCCCCATCTCAAAAACAAACAAAATATTTAAGCTAGATTCTCCAAGCTTCCTATCCAGATACAGTCACGTATAAAAATTTTTTTTTTTTGGTACCAGGTATCGAACTTGGGTCCTTGCACTTGTGCAGCAGGCGGCGAAACCACTGAGCTAAATCCCCGGCCCATGTATAAAAATTTTGTCAACACTATTCTGTGTATTGTTTTTGTTTTTTGAGAGAGTCTCACTATGTAGTTCAGGCTGAGCTTGAACTCACTATGTAGCCCAGGCTGGCCTCGAACTCAAAGTGATCCTCCTGCCTCAGCCTCCAGAGTGCTGGGATTACAAGCGTGCGCCACCATGCCGGGCAACACTATTCTGTATCAGCCATTCTATATCAATGGCTGTGGGCCTCTCCGGCGTAATGTTACAGTCCTAATTATAGGAATGCAAAAGTTTCACCTGCTGTGTATGAAATCCTAGTTCAGTAAGGCATTTCATGGAGACACGAAGTTTCAAGGTATCACATGCTGGGTGTAAAGAACTGCTGCGGTGTGTGAGCCAACACCGAGCCTCTGGACCTGTTTCCCCAGGTACGCCGGGATCCTGCTGGGCATCACCAACACGTTCGCCACCATTCCAGGTATGGTTGGGCCCGTCATTGCCAAGAGTCTGACCCCTGAGGTGAGTAGACATTTTGCTCGAAAATGGAAAAAAAACATTTGGGGGCCAGGGATTTAGCTCAGTGGTGCCACACCTGCCTCGAAAGCACAAGGTCCTGAGTTCGATCCCTGGTACTGGAAACAAAAAAGTTTGGGAGCTGCATACTGTCTGACAGAGTTGAATAGATTTTAATGGTAAAATTCTGAATGTTTACTCTTATTAAATTCTTTATCGAAACAAAAAATACACATCTTAATGGGTGGGAAAGTAAACAGTTTTCAAAGAATACTCTGGGTTTTAGAACAATAGAACCAAATTAAATGAAGATCTGGAACCTGAAAGTATTTAAAAACATTAAAGCCTTTAAAAGTTGTGATATGTCAGCAAGGTGCAGGGGTGCATGCTTGTAATTCCAGCCCTTAGGGTGCTGAGGCAGGAGGGCAATGAGTTCAAAACCAGCCTGAGCTGCATGGTAAGTTCTAGGGCAGCCTGGAACATAGTGAGACCCTGTCTCCAAAACAAAAACAAAATTTTACTATTTTACCAGATCAATAGTTTGTGTTTTGTTTGAAAAAAAATACAACAATAAAAAAAAAGGGCTTGTTGGTGCACACCTGTAATCCTAGCACCGCCGGTGGCTGAGGCAGGAGGATCACTAAGTTTGAGGCCAGCCTGGTCTACGAGAGAAAAAACAAACTTACTGCCCCCCCCGACAGCCCTGAGGGGAAGCTTCCTCTGAGAAGCCTACGGTTGTCCTGAGCTTTACTTTCCGATATAACAGCGAAGCACTGGCCAGCCCCTCAAACCACCCTTAGCAGATCTACACAGCAGTCCCTGAAATCTAAGGTGGATTCGCTGCTAAGCCAGGTGTGCTGGTGCACTCTTGTGATCCCAGCACCCAGGAGGCTGAGGGAGGAGGAGCCAGAGTTGGAGCCCAGTCTGAGCGAATTAGAGAGACTGTCCCAAAATTTTTAAGAGGGGGAAAAAATTTTTCTAAAGGGGTGGGGATGTAGCTCAGTGTGGAGGTCCTGGGTTCGATCCCCAGCACTGCAAAAGTATTTTTCCACTAAAATACATTCATTTCAGGTGTGTGTAACAGCCACTGGTGCTTCCGTTTTTCTTCCACATGGCTGCTTCTACTGCTTGGTTTTGGGTTTTATTTTGTTTTAATGCTGCAAAGGTATCACTATAATTAGACTGAAATTATAAAATCTAAATGATTGTAAAGGTGGCCCAGAAATTAAGATGGCCGTGACGTTTTATGTTATTAGGTCACTCTCGGAACGCCCGCAGCTCTCCTGCAGACGGACCCCGTCCCTGTCACACTGCACCCCCACATCCCAGACCCTCAGCCCGGCCTCCTCAGCCCAGCCAATGGCTCCCAGCTCAGGACCTGGGCTCCACTGTTCCTGACTCACAGGCATGCGCACCTTTGTTACAGTAACCCTTGTATTGAGGTGCACTGTGCTTTTTTTTTCTTTGAGACGGGGTCTCGCTGTGTAGCTGAGGCTGGCCTTGAACTCACTGTAGCCCAGGCTGGTCTCCGACTTGAGGCAATCCTGCCTCAGCCACCCAAGTGCTGGGATTACAGCTATGCACCACCAGCCTGGCACCACATGCACTTTTTAAGTGCACAAACCTTAAATGCACAGCCAGGTTAACATTGCGTGTAACCTCACCCACTCAAGACAGCACCACTCCCTCTTCAAGTCCCCAGGCCCTGCTCCTGGCCCTCCCTCCCTCCCTCCCTCCTCACCCATGCAGAGGAGCTGCAGTGCTGACCCAGCGCCAGACGAGCTGAGTTTGAGCATCGAGCATCACCTGGTGTGTAGTCTGTCTGGCTTTTGCTTAACATTTGGTGAGATCCACCTGTGTTGCTGATTCATTCTCAGGGCTGTATAATATTCCACTGAACAATCACCACCATTGTATTGCTGGGGACGTTTGGGTTGTTCCAGGCACGGGGCTTTTATGAACAGTCCTGCTGTTTACACGGTCGTGGGACACCACCTTTTCCTTATAAAGCGGGCTGCCAGCAATGTCTTCATTTGCATTTCTCTTTCTCTATAGGACACCATTACCGAATGGCAAACTGTTTTCTATATTGCTGCTGCTATCAATGTATTTGGAGCCATTTTCTTCACACTGTTCGCCAAAGGTGAAGTGCAGATCTGGGCTTTCGGCGATCACCATGGACACAGAAACTGAGGACACAGATGAGCCCTCCGTCTCCATTATTCCTCATCATGTAACCTCAGAGTGCCTTCGGGTTCTAACGTGTAAGGATTTTGTGTGCAAACTGGAACCTGTATTAAATTTGTAAGGCTTGTAATCATGAAATGTCACTGTTGCCAGATTAGTAAAATGAGCTCTTTTCAATTAATAATAATATGCGCTGAGCTGGGGATGTAGCTCAGTGGTTCCGCCGCCTGCCTCACAAGCTCAAGGTCCCGAGTTCAGTTCCCGATACCAAAAAAAAATATCAGCTGGGCCTGGACCTTATGCTTTCGGTTCCACTCCTGCCCACGAGCCAGGCTACGTGAGCAGGGGCGTTCTGGTTTTTAAGGACCACGCTGCTGGGTTCCCCGGTTACTTGGGCTTAGTGAAACGAGATGCTGACTCTCAGGTCTTGGTAACACCTGCTTTTGCCCACTTTCCTCCTAACACTTCCTGTTCCCGCTCTCGCCCCCTGGGTGCCGGCCGGCAGCTGCCCACACTCCGACCCTGCCCCGGACCTCAGGCAGCACCCGCGCCCTGCACCCTGCGTCTGTGTCCGCTGCTGTCCCGGGGCCACTGTGAGGGGCCCCAGCTCAAGGGGACCCCACTCCAGGCCTCCCCGACTGCGCCCCGGGCACCCCCACGACTCGACAAAGACAGCTGTCCCGGATCTGAGGATGAATTGCTAACTTCTCCCTTTCGATCCGAATCAGAATTAAAAACAAAAACGTGTAAGTCCGGCTTTTTCTTCGCTCTGCCTCCCTGCGGCTCCTGGGGCGTTAGGCGGAACCCGGCTGAGGACCTCGCTGGCCCAGCTCCTGCCTGGCCTCGAAGGGCTCAAGGGCTCGGGCTCAGCCCCGGCTGCAGAAATGAGACAGTGAGGTTCCCGTGGCTCGCAGGCCACCCGCTGCGGCCAGTAAATCATCTTCATTTTGAGCTCTGAAATCAGATTTTTGCAGCTTTTTTTCCTGACTCCTCTGTTGACCCTACTTGAGGGGTAAAATGGATTCCACATACGGTTTACAGTTTTATTGTGTTCAACACTACCCGTAACATTTTAATTAAAACTTTAACACGATGTGAATACATTTATGTAAATTTATTTTTAAATTTGTAAATACCAACAGCTTTAAGTTGCTGTGATGATTTCTTTTATAAATCAGAATAAACCTTTGCGGATTGATCTCGGGTCCGGCAGTTCGCGGTACTTTCTAGAGAGAATTCCCGTCTCCGCGCCCACCCAGGCCCCTCCCCGACAGCCTTCCTCCGTGACCTCTCCGCGCTCTCCACCGCCCTCCTCCTTTTCCTTCTGTCTCCGAGACACACGTCGTCTTCGGCCTTTAAACAAAAGTCTCCCGGGGGACGCAGAAAACCTATCAATCCAGAAAACCTGCAGAAGAAGAAACTGGAACCCGTGGTTCCCTCCAGAGAGAAAGCAGGTCACGGGGAAGGCGAACTCGTTTTCACTTGCAAGCGCGGCCGTGTAACCTGTTAAGCGAGTGCACCGTTTCCAAGCCCAGACGCCTGTTGCTGAAGCTGCTGCGTGATCACTCCCGTCCGTCCGGTCCCGTCCGTCACCGTCACCTGAGCGCGGCTGCCCCTGCAGCCTTCCTTTCTCCTCGCAGAAGCACCATTTCCTGGCCACTCACGCTTGGACCCCGAAGCATTTTCCTCCTTCCTCCCGCACCCCGTGTCTAACCAACGTCCGTCTGTCCCTGCCACTCTTCCGTGTCTTCGATCTTTATTTTCATTCCTCCCAATAAAAGCCTCGTGGCTGTGGTTTCCACCTGGGGTAGGAAAGCAGCCGCTCTCCCTGCCTCCCACCGAGCTCTCCACTGGGCCACACCCGCGGGGCGGCTTCCCCGGCGCACCCTGAGGTGCCCACGCCCGACTCGGCCCTGCGTAGTGGCAGCGCCCAGGCGGTCCCCTGCACGCCAGCTCCTTCTCCTCTCATCCTGCGGCCCGGGAGGCTGCTCTTCTACCCACCCTTGCTGAGGAGAGGCGCTTCCCCAATCTGCTCCAAACTATTACTGACCCGACCCCGAGGCCGTTATAAGGAGATCTCTTACTCCACAAATAGAACGCACCTGCTCCACCAGGCCACAGGGTGTCAGCAGGCCCTTCCTCGCTGGGGCTCCTCCCGGCCCCGGGCCGCTCTCCTTCCGATGCTCTGGACACACCTGCGTCTCCCCCTCAGACTCCGAGCTTCTTAGGGCAGCGTCCATGGAGTCATCTCAGCCTGGTCTCCCTCACAACGAGTGCTTAGCACACTGTAGCTGTATTATAAATATATGGCAAATTACAAACCATAAATTCACATTTTTCATCCTGTTTTTTTTGTTTGGGGGGGTGTTTGGGGGTTTTTTTGGTACCGGGGTTCGAACTCAGGTCCTTACGCTTGTGAGGCAGGTGGCGGAACCACTGAGCTAAATACCCGGCCCTTCATCCCGTTTTTTTATATTCCTCCTCCAAACAGGCTTTTTTTTTTTTTCCCCCCAATACTAGGGTTTGAACTCAGGGCCTTCACACTGAGCTCCATTCCCAGCCTTTTATGTACATATGTATGTATTTAAAATATTGAAATAGGTTCTCACTAAATCACTAAATTTCCCAGGCTGGCCTGAAACTCTTGATCCTCCTGCCTCAGCCTCCGAGAGTGCTGGGATTACAGGCATATGCCACCATATCCAGCTACTTCATTATAAGAGTTAAAGGCACACAAACTGGGTGTGATAGAGCACACCTAAAATCCCAGTGTTACAGGCAGCTAAATTAGACAGAAATTAACATACAGAGAGGGGCTCGGCTCTCAAAGAAGTGAGGAGAAAAAGAAAGACATCTGAAGTGTGGCTGGAGGTGCACCTGAAGACAACCAGGCCTCAAGATAAAGAGGGAACGGCCAGGCCTACATGCCGCCCCAGGGATAAACAATAACTGAGATTACACTATAATTGGTATTACCTGGTCCCGGAAATCCAGCTAGGCATCAGTGGCCCAGGTGGGAGACCCAGCCCTTCCCAAGAATGCCTTTGTTCCTTCCACGTGCCCTTGCTACAGCCTCAGTTCCCACTGGATCAATATTAGCTAGGTGGCTCTACTTGCGACCCATGTTGACCTCACCTTGTGTGATTTTGCTCTAGGAAACATTCCTAGAGAAATGACCTCGGAAGCAGCCCACTGTCTCTCAGGAGCTCTCTCTCAGTAAATCTTTCCTACTCTTAACCTCTGTAGTTCCTTAGAAATCATTCTTTGATTTTGGGGGACATGAACTTGGTGTATCCGCCATCTAGCAAGTTGGGAGTTATATTTCTCCTGTATCACCAACACTCAGGAGGCCAAGGCAGGAGGATCACCATGAGTTCCAGGCCAACCTGAACTACATAGTGAAACGTTCTCAAACAAAAATTCCATTTCCTTTTTGTTGTTCTTTTGAAACGGTCCTGATATGTAGTTCAGGCTGGCCTCTAACTCAGGTGATCCTCCTGCCTCAGCCTGCCGAGTGCTGGGATGACAGGCATTCACCAACATGCCCGGCACTAAGGAAAAATTCTTAAAATGAAGAAATGATGCCTTACGATGAAAAAATATCTCATATTAACTTCAAAATAAGTAGTAAGTGGCAATTATTGGTAAGCAGTTTTGAAAGTATTTGTGAAGAGCTTAGTTCACAGATGAAACAATCCTGACTCCTTAACAAAGACTGCACATTCCCTTTTTTGGTACTGGGGATCAAACTCAGGACCTTGCACTTGTGAGACGGGCTACTGCCTGCAAAAATGTTGCTCACAGTGAGCTCCCGCCAAGCCCCCGCTGGCTGATCTTGGAGCAGGGTAGGAAAGAGGCACACACTGAGACAGCAGCCGCGTAGCCCTCAGAATGCCGGCCTGCAGCCTTCGTTACACCTTCAAGAAATCAGAAATACAGGTGTTTAAATTCAGCTCCCAGCTGGCCGTGGTGGCGCACGCCTGAAATCCCAGGCTGGAGGCTTGCCGAGTATGAGGCCAGCCTGGGCTGCGTAGTGAGCCCGTCTCAAAAAACAGACAGACAGAGGCCTGTGCTTGTCGGACCGCCCTGCGCAGCACAGCCGGTGTCCACTCTCGAAGGACGGCGCAGAGCACAGCGGCTCAGTCCCGCTCCCGCCCAGCGAGGGCGACACCAGTAACCGTGTTACAGTAACCGCCACACGGAGTCGCTACGGGCGGTGCAGCCCAGGCCCTGCCCGGCCCCAGCCTGGGAGCCTCGAGTGCGAGCATCACACACACGCGCGTGCACAGTGCTCTGGCTCCACACACAGAGGAGAGCCCGGAGATGACCTTCCTGTTAGGGGCAGGAAGCTTATCCTGCAGGCTTCCAGGGCTTCTGTTTGACCCTCAGGGAAGCCGTGGCCCTCACAGATGTCACCTCAGACACCAGAGGCCAGCCTTTTTTTTTTTTTTTTTTTTTTTTTTCTGAAACAGAGGCTTGCTAAATTGTCCATCCTGGGCTTGAACTTTCAGTTCTCCCCCCCTCAGCCTCCCACAGTGCTGGGATGACAGGCCTGTACTACCATCCCCACTGCCTTTGCTGCTCATCCACACAGTAGGACAGAGCCTCTGAGCCGGGTGTGGTGGCACACACCTGGCATCCCAGCACGGTGGGAGGCTGAGGCAGGAGGATCACCTCAAGTTCGAGGCCAGCCTGGGCTACATACTAAATTCAGGGCCAGCCCGAACTACACATCGAGACCCCAAAATAAAAAGGAAATGGTGCAGAGCACACGCTCGGAATTGAATGCAGTGCTATGTAGCGTTATGATCTTGTAAATAACAGTATCTAAAGTCTCCGCAAGTATAGCACTGGTGCGGGAGCTGCCTGACCCATGTACTCACCAGTTATTTATTTCCCATTGAAACCCCACACAGGCCTCAGTCACGCCATCTCAGGAAAAGCCAGTCAGTCACAAAGCCGGGGGCAAAGGGTGCCCACACTCAGATCCTGTCGCTTCTTCCACAGGCAGGGCTGCCTTGTCAAAGATAAGTAAATGTGTGCTCTCTGAACTAGTAACTCTGCATACAGTAATTCATTCTAACAGTGCTGTGAAGGCTGAGTGGCGTTTGGGTCTGTGATTCCAGCTACTGAGGAGGCCGAGGCAGTGGGAACATGTAAGCCCAGGTTGGGACCAGCCAGGGCAAGGCCACCAAACTCTATCTCAAAACAAACAAGGGCCAGGGATATAGCTCAGTGGCACCGTGCCTGTCTGGCAAGAGTAAGGTCCTAATTTCCATCCCGGGTAACAAAAACACCCCCAAACAAAAATGCTGAATAACCATCCAACATTTGTTGTGATGTCAATTTTCCATCAATAAATAATTTATGATGTGTTCATAAGTGAGAATACTATGCAGCCAGAAAAAAGAATGAGTGCAATCTGAGTCAGAGAACTACACACTATTCACACATTTTGGTGGAGAACAAACAAAGCTCTCTAACCATACATAGGATTATTGTTTCTTTGAGTTTTTTTGGTACTGGGGATCAAACTCAGGACCTTGAGCTTTCAAGGCAGACTAGGTGCCACTGAGCTAAATCCCTGGCCCATACATAGGACTGTTATATTCTATTTTTGTTAACAAACAAGCAAACCATATATGCATTGATATGTATATAGAAAAAGATCTATGAATAGTAGCAATGTGGTTTTTGGTTTTGTTTTGTTTTTTGGAGGGTTTTTTTTGGTACTGAGGATCAAACTCAGGACCTTGTGCTTTCGAGACAGGTGGTGGCACCACTGAGCTAAATTCCAGCCCTGGTTTTTGTTTATTTGTTTTTTGAGATTTTTTAAACAGGGTCTCATTATGTAGTCCAGGCTGGCCTTGAACTCACTACGGAGCACAGGTTGACCTCAAACTTGCAGCAATCCTCCTGCCTCAGCCTCCCAAGTACTGGGATTGCAGGGCCCGCACCACCATGCCTGAGAAGTAGTAATGTTAAATCATAAAATGAACAGAAAAAAACAATGCAGAACATCTATAGAAGCTCAGAGTAAAAGGGAAAAAAAAGGTGGATTTCACTCCCTTAAATACTAATGTTCAGCCAAAG